GGTGAAGAGAGTGATGTGAGGGGGATTTTACTTTTTTAAATCTCTATAAAATGCGCACTAAAAGACACATTTATACTTAAGCAGTTCCCAAAGAATACCCTACCTATGGAAGTCTTCAAACTTTGAAGATAATTTTCTCGATAAATTTACTTCTGATACCAGACGACGCTCTCATAGTTCAATTGCAATAAGAATATCGATTTCTATTTAAGATATTTTTTAAATATTGTGTTGATATTTTTGTCTAGAGCAAATCAAATTATTGTCTAACTTTAACAGTATGCCAATAACTCTACATGCCCCAAAAAGGAAGAACGTCAGAATCTGCAGTGTGATTAACAATTTATCATCATCACTTATGTAACATGTAACATCTATATTTTTAAATTTAAAAAAAACAATATAGATCTATACGCATGTGTATATATATATATAATATCACACACACACAAACACACACACACACACCCATATCATATATGTATATATGTTATATATAATATGCCTTTCACTATTTCATTCTTATAAATTGTAAAAACTTCACCTATAAACGTGATGTGTCTATTTCCATAGGGCTCGAATTTGAGAAGTAACTCTTTTTGTCAGCACGCTTCACATATATATATTTCCTCAGACATGTAAAAGTGTAGAACGTACCTGTGAGAAAGCTGACTGGAAGCCCCACCACAACCACAATAATCATCCCAATGCCAGTATACCATAGGTAGGAGATAGAGTACAACCACTGGAGGCCGGGGCTGAAATAACGAAGACACTTTGCATCAGTTGAATGATGGTGGTTGGCAAGTGCTATATGGCCGCTTAAAACCCAAAGAGGCTATCCCGATAAATGTGAGGCAGCGTGGTGGAATCAGGCTTTAGTCAAAATAATCAAAGTGAAGAAACTTGCATTTTTCCTCAGTTTGTGAATTTTTATCAAATTTTAGTTTTTTGGCTAAACATCTTTCATGTCCATTAAAGAACTCATTTCTATTTGGATTTTTCTGAAAAACGTTGATTAAAGACACAAAAAATGTGACTGTCCTGTTACCACGGACTCTTAAGCTCAGGAAATAACTAATCTTTGGCGGCCATTTTCTCACTAATTTTACCTCTGAAAACAGGTGACCCCCACCTCCCTCCTTCACAAATATCTCGACTTGTATTCAAGATAAACAGATATTTTTTTCATCCAAATAAAGACAAGTAAACAAGCTTTAAGATAATACCAATAACTCCACACGCCCAAAAATTGACGAGAGCCTGAATCCACCACGCTGCCTCACAAATGCCTTTTTGAGAAAATTGAAGGTAAAGCTTGACAAATATTTACACCAAGGAAATCAAACTTCTCATATAGATAGGGCAATGCCCACTTTTGGTGTAGGTCAAGATTTCTGGAAACCCCCGAAATCTGGGATAGCCCGCTTGTCCTTAAAAGCGGCCATTATATACAATCATTGGAAGGTGGCGCTGAAACAACAGAGAAATGTAGAATGAATTGTATGTGCGTAGTTAGCACTTTCTGTATACCGTTGGGTTATACTCAGAATACTGAGTACGTGTCTACCTTAACACTATTACTGTTTATAATTATTATTGTTCATTTCTGTTATGCATGCAACTGAAAGCCTGTTTGTGAGTGCAAGCATACTATTGTATTATTACTTTGATGTGCACAAATATTTGTAGAAGAGACAATGTGGGATGGAAGAGTGTGTGTGTATATAGAAGTGTGCATATGTGCGTGGGTATGGGTTGTGTATAATTATGTTTATGTGTATGTGTGTGTGTGAGAGAGAGAGAGAAAGAGAGAGAGAGAGAGAAAGGGAGAGAGAGACAGAAGGAGAGAGTGTGCGCGCGTGTGTATGTGTGTGTGCGTGCCTGTGTGTGTGTGTGTGTGTGTGTGTGTGTGTGTGTGTGTGTGTGTGTGTGTGTGCGTATTTGTACGTGGTGAAACACCAAACCAAAGTGCCAGGCAGGATAGGATCTGGACGACAAAGATATATCTTGTCTTACAAACATTGGGGAGCAAGGCAGCAACAAAACAAAGGTGCAAATTTAAATGTAGGTGGTTGGCAGGTGCTCTGTATAACCATTAGAAGGTGGCGCTGGCAAAACGGAGAAACGAGGAAATAATTGCATGTATGTGGGTGGTTGATGGGTGCATTGGTTTGGTATGAATAGAACAACAATATCATGCTGACTGTTATAACTCCGTTTTCACAAAATGTCAGAACCGCTAAAGTTGAACTGTTTGTTTGTTGGTTTGTTGGTTGCTGTATTTCTGTTTGTTTGCTTTTTGTAAGGGAACGATAAATAACTCAACCCCCCCCTTTTCCCGTACAAAAAGAGAGAAAAAAATGTACCCAACCCCTTTCCCCTACCAAAAAAAAATTAATTAAAAAAATAAAATAAAACGCAATACAATTAAATACAAAAACGTGCACTAAAATAAAGTAAAATTAAAATAGAATAAGTTAAGAACAATCCTACCAAACCAAATACATAATAATAACATTTGAAAAAGTTAGGATAAGATCGATCAAATAGCATAAAATAAAACAATCTTTTAAAAAATAATAAAATGAATACAATTTAAAGAAAATGTGTAAAATACCATGAAACCCCACAGTTATTATTCAACTCCCCGTCTCACCTAATTGGACTTTCTTCCGGCATCATGCCTGTGGTAAATGTCGTTGCGGATGTTGTTAGGGCCGTTGTCATAGCAACGGTTGTCATGGATCCGTTGACAAGGTCCGCCGTACACGTCCCGTTGGGAAAGGGCATTCTCTTTGCAGGGATTCCGTAATTGTAGGAGCCAATAGCCAGCCACATAGACGTTGCCTCGCCTACCACGGCGCCTACCACCGCTCCCTAGAGAGAGAAACATATAAATACATATTATATTAAAGATTAAGTATTGTAACTACTTTTTTTTTAAGAAAAAGAAAAAAAACCCGCCATAGTTACAATTCTTTTGTAAATTATGAGAAGATGTCCGTCAGGAAATTATTTATAAGGGGAAAGGTTTTTAAAAACAAAAGTTCAAGAATGATTGCTTAGTAATACAAACTTTTAAAAAGACCCCAAATAGCCTAAAAATCATTTTTTTAACATACAAAAAACACAAACAACCGCTTCCCAATCCCAATTTTAAAAAATAGTAGGACTTACTTTTTTTTTAAACGTTCTATTTTAAACAACTAACGAATGACTATAAGGTCAAGATAATATATTTGTGAAAAGGAAGAGGTTCTCTTATATTAACATTAATTAAAATAATAATAATAATAATCATCATCATCATCATCATCATCCT